TGGAGGCGTGTTCTCTGGAGTGACCAATCACGCTTCTCTGTCTGGCAATCCGATGGGCGTGTCTGGGTTTGGCGGTTGCCAGGAGAACGGTACTTGCCTGACTGCATTGTGCCAAGTGTAAAGTTTGGTGGAGGGGGGATTATGGTGTGGGGTTGTTTTTTAGGGGTTGGGCTCCGCCCCTTAGTTCCAGTGAAGGGAACTGGTAAGGAATCAGCACACCAAGACATTTTGGACAATTTCATGCTCCCAACTTTGTGGGAGGAGTTTGGGGACGGCCCCTTCCTGTTCCAACATGACTGCGCACCAGTACACAAAAGCCGTTAGAGTTCATGTGCGTGTAAAGGCGTCCCAATACTTTTGGCAATATAGTGTATCTTCAGGCTAGAAAGTCTCTCTAGTGGGAACACGTACAGCCATACAAAGCAGGTCCACCTCTTCCCCACTCTACTAAATAAATGGTTTTATTGATGTCTATGTCCTTATCGGAGACAATTCTTGTCTGTATGACACAACAGTGAGAGGGGGAAATCTCTTAGAATGGGCAAAGAGTCACAGCTTGAAGCAAAAAAACAACGTGAAGATGTACAATAAATTATAAATCAAAAAAATGTAAATTCTATAAGTAATGAAACAATAAAAAAACAGAGATCACACCACATCGATAAAGCTAAAATATTCCATATGGGTTGGCTGATCCTTACAGACGGCCTTATCTTTATTGTATGGACATAGCAGTTCAGTCTATAAAACTCCACCATTTCAGTGGCCTCATGTGGTGTGTGTCCTCTGGTGGTGAAGCAGGGCCACTTTCTGCACAAACCGTTTGCCGCATTCCGAACAGGAAAACGGCTTCTCCCCGGTGTGAATCCTCATGTGCTTATCACGGTTCCCTTTATCGGTGAAACACTTTCCACACTCTGAACAGGAAAAGGGCTTCAAGCCGGTGTGAATTCTCTGGTGCCTACCAAGTTTGGATTTCTCAGTGAAGGACTTTCCGCACACAAAACACAAGAAGGGCTTCTCCCCCGTGTGGATTCTCTGGTGGCGAACAAGTTCCGATTTGTTTATATAGGAATTCTCACACTCGGAGCAGGAGAACACTTTACCAATGGTGTGGATTTTCTGGTGCCGAACGAGTTCTGATTTGATCGTGAAGGACTTCGCGCACTCAGAACACACGAAGGGCTTTTCCCCGGTGTGGATTCTTTGGTGTTGAATGAGTTTTGGTTTGTTTATGAAGGACTTCCCGCAATCGGAACACGAGAAGGGCTTTTCCCCGGTGTGGCTTCTCTGGTGTAGAATGAGTGCCGATTGGTATATGAAGGACTTCTCGCACTCGGAACACGAAAAGGGTTTTTCCTTGGTGTGGGTTCTTTGTGGATTTTCTGGGTCGTGGTTTTTAAGAAAGGGTTTTTCACAATCTTGATAAGGATGCAGATTATTGGGAGAAGGTTCCTCGGGAATAGAAGGATTTATCTGCCCTGCTAAGGCTTGGCTGGACATTTGGGATAATAGTACGTGATTTATCTTTGGACTCCCCAGAATTAAATCGACCTGTTGACCTGTTACCATATGATTAGGTTTGGGATGTATATTTTGAGTAACATTGTTTACTCCTGGAGAATATTGTGCCGTGTCATCATCTTCTTTATTATAATCTACAGATACAATAGAACATCCCATTGGGGTATTCCAGCCATTGAGTCCTCCTGTTAATAATAACATCATCATCATCATCATCATGTTCATTGTTCATGTTGTGCAATTAAAAGTCATGTATGTTGGTCTAGTAGCCAGCTGCCATTTGTTGTGGACATGACGTTATATTGAGGAATGGAGATGGACCTTCATATGGTGTACAGTATCTCCTCCTCATTTGTTGGGGACATGACGTTGTATTAGGGAATGGAGATGGACCTTCATATGGTGTACAGTATCTCCTCCTCATTTGTTGAGGACATGACGTTATATTGAGGAATGGAGATGGACCTTCATATGGTGTACAGTATCTCCTCCTTATTTGTTGGGGACATGACGTTATATTGAGGAATGGAGATGGACCTTCATATGGTGTACAGTATCTCCTCCTCATTTGTTGGTCACATGACGTTATATTGAGGAATGGAGATGGACCTTCATATGGTGTACAGTATCTCCTCCTCATTTGTTGGGGACATGACGTTATATTGAGGAATGGAGATGGACCTTCATATGGTGTACAGTATCTCCTCCTCATTTGTTGGTCACATGACGTTATATTGAGGAATGGAGATGGACCTTCATATGGTGTACAGTATCTCCTCCTCATTTGTTGGGGACATGACATTATATTGAGGAATGGAGATGGACCTTCATATGGTGTACAGTATCTCCTCCTCATTTGTTGGTCACATGACGTTATATTGGGGAATGGAGATGGACCTTTCATATGGTGTACAGTATCTCCTCCCCATTTTTTGGGGACATGACGTGTCCTGTGTTCCTTAATGGACAAAATTAAATAAAAACATGAAGTGCTGCATTTTGATATATACTACTGACCTGTACTGATATCTAGAGAAGATCCCTGCTTGGTAATTGTCATAACCATTTCCGCTTCCTTCATAGACAGTTGATTTCCCCTCCCATGCGTCTCTTCTTCCACTTTAACCTCAGTTTTGATATCAAACACCTCTTCCCTCTAAAATCACACAATGTGACACTACACAGAAGAATATAATCTAATACAGTTTGGAGCCAAGATTAAAGTTAGACATTCCCAGTCCCACCTACCTGATCATGGTGGGGGACAGTGAGATCTTCCCGTGTGGAATCCCGGGAATACAGAGGACGGGCACATCTCTCTGGTGGGTTCCTCTTACTGGGTCCATCTGTAGGAAACACACACACTGACTGAATACATTGTTTCTATGTGTGTATCAGATGATGGGGGATCTAGGTGGACCCTCCGTACTGCTCTCTCCTCTTACCCGGTGATGTGAGAGGCGGATCATTCTCCATCATGATGTCCTTGTAGAGATCCCGGTGTCCTTCTACACACTTCCGCTCCTTCATCACACTATACTCCTCCTCTTCTTCTCTTATCTCTTCTTTGACTTGAACATTAAAATAGCTCCAGTTCCCACTCTGAATGTAAAGTTAAAACAAAGCGGTAAAAATGTCTCTTCCATGGAGACATCCTGACACCTTATAGGAACCTGACACACACAATGATACAGTCACCACCCAGACACATCCCTTGTCTGTTCCTGGATCATGTCCCAGAACTCTCGGCACCGCTCACCTCTCCTGTTAGCAGGTCAATAATCTTCTTGGTGACTTCTAGAATCTTCTGGTCATTGTTTCTTTCTGGGATCAGTAGGGAACTAAGAGGGACCATAATGGAGTTCTGTCCACCTCCCGATGTCTTTCTCACAACTATGTCATCCTGTGGAGAGAGATCAGCCATCACTCTATACATTTCCCAATACAAGAAGTTTAAATAAGAGAAGTTGCAACTGTCTACCATTTAGGTCCCTCTTTGCTATGATCTTAAGGTCTCCTTCACGCGTGAATCGTCCGGCACGTGCTGCATGCACGGCCGTATCGAGCAGCGCCCGGGAAGGACAAGTGCTGTGATTAGTACGCAGCCCCCGTCCTTCTCTATGGGAGTACGCGGCCGTACACCGCCCTACGCTCACCCTGTGCACGTCTGTGCGGGTGCGCATACTCGTAAGCTGACAGGATGGATCCGGGCCGGGACCTGCACTTGAGGTGAGCGTAGGGCGGCGTACAGCCGCGTACTTCCATAGAGAAGGTCAGGGCCTGCGTACTAATCACACACAGCACCGGTCCTTCCCGGGAGCTGCCCGATACGGCCGTGCATGCAGCACAGATGAGGCCTTACAGCGGCATTTCACGTTCAGGGTTAATGATATTTCTTCTCTTGCACACGAGCCTTTGAGATGTTTCCAGTCACGTTGTATCGGTCACTACTCGGCTAAGACAATAGCAATCACCGGGCAGGAGACCAAACTGCAGCTTCCTACATGTGCAATGGTGGTTGTGGCATTGGGGAAAAGCTACACTACCTGAAGGCAGCATTGCCGTGTGAAGAGGGCACCAAGAAAACAATTGTCCCCTATGAGCCCTTGCAGTGACCGGCGTTGATCAAGTGCAGAAAAATGCCAGTAACCGCTAATACATTGGAAAGGTCCTCCAGAACGGTCCTGCCTATGGATGGAGCTTGGCCAAAGAAATGTTACATATAAAAAATAATAAAACCAAAAATATCCCCTTGTGGATCTGTCGATGAAATAAAACTGAAGCAAAGTTATTTTTGCCCAGCAGCTATCAATCATAAAAATGTGACAAACTATTCGGGTATTCTCCCAGAATCCTCCTCACCTCTCCGGTCAGCAGGTAGATGATCTCCAGGGTGAGCCGTAATATCCTCTCCGTCAGGTTGTTGCAGTTTGGCTCCATCCCTCGCACTCTGCTCCATTCACTTCCTGCAACAATAGTGCCCATCCCCCCCAATGAGCCATCATGGGTTAAAGGCAAGCTCTTGGAGGATTGGTTCTTCTCAGCCATTTTGTTGTAGCCCAGCAGACTTGCAGGAATACGCTGCTCAGATCTGGGGTTGTCTATTAAAACCCACCAAACTTTTCCGCCAGCTGAGAGCAGGATGGATTGGCATTGAATATGTTAATTTAGTTGCATGCCAACATGTCTTCATATATGAGCTACAATAATATGTCTGCCACCTGATGCTACAATAATATGGCTGCCACCGGGAGCTACAATAATATGGCTGCCACCTGAAGCTACAATAATATATCTGCCACCAGGAACTACAACAATATGGCTGCCACCAGGAACTACAACAATATGGCTGCCACCAGAAGCTACAATAATATGGCTGCCACTAAGAGCATAGCTCATTTATTTAACTACAGGAATGAAGAGAAAGGTGAACCTAATGTTCGAACGCTCTGCCGCCACCAATGACATCACCTTCACCATCGGCAGAGTTTTTGATCCCACAACCCAAATTATTAGACACTATATTACCAAAAGTATTGGGACACCCCGCCAAATCATTGGATTCAGGTGTTCCGTCACATTTCCTGGCTACTACATATTCCGCGGTCACCTGTTACTGGTATTATAACAAGGTGGAAGCAACTGGGAACAACAGCAACTCAGCCAGGAAGTGGTAGACCACGTAAAATGACAGAGCGTGGTCAGCGCATGCTGAAGCGCACAGTGCACAGAAGTCGCCAACTGTCTGCAGAGTCCATAGCTACAGACCTCCAAACTTCGTGCGGCCTTCAGATTGGCGCAACAACAGTGCGTAGAGAGCTTCATGGAATGGGTTTCCATGGCCGAGCAGCTGCATCCAAGCCTTACATCACCATCACCAAAGCGTCAGATTCCGTGGTGTAACGCACGCCGCCACTGGACTCTAGAGTAGGGTTGCCACCCGTCCGGTTTTGACCCGTACAGTCCGGTTTTTGTGTGTTGTGTCCGGGTGCCCAGCCAGCGGGCACCCATACACAAGACACTTAGCGCCAACACCGGCACTTTAAATTTTCTGACAGGTGCGGCTGCCGAGGTCCTTGTCAAGCGCGGTCTCGAGCAGCCGCATCGGCCTGAAACCCGGGTCTTCCTCTGAGGTGGGGGCAGCCTGTGCCTGTGCTTGCAGCTCAGAGAAAGATTCGGGTTTCAGGCCGATGTGGCTGCTCGAGATCGCACTTGACAAGGACCTCGGCAGCCACACATGTGATCGCTCCTCCTCTCTTCTAACTCTGGTGTTCTATCACATAGAGAAGAACGAGGAGACATTCCTCTCTATGTGATAGATCACCAGAGTTAGAAGAGCGGCCTGGCTATAGATCCCCGTGCAGCTGAAGGGAAGGCATGAAGAGGCGGGGACACAGAAAATAGATGAGCTGCAGCGGCAAAGAGCCGACCCAATACTGAACCCTACTAGTATCGGTGCAGATGTCGAGTATTACACGCTGCCCGGCTTCCTGATTGACCTGTGACAAGGGAGCATGGACCTGGCTTCCCGGCCAATTGGGAAGCCGGGCAGCGTGTAAAGACTCGCCACCCGTCATTACACGGCGCCTGGCTTCCCGATTGTCCAGAAAGCCGGCTCCATGCTTTCTAGTCACCCATTGATGAGGGAGCATGGAGACGGCTTACCTGCTAATCGGGAAGCTGGGTGGCGAGTCTTTACACGGGAATGGGACCTCCAGTATTGGTATTCGGTATCAGCGAGTACCGGAAAAAAAAATATCGGTACTCGATACCGAAATACCGCTATGAGTGCATCCCTAGTATTAGTATCTATTCCCAGGTACATTACTCACCAGGAGCTTATCCAGGAACTGGGAATGCTTTCTACAGGCATTCTAGCAACGACCTCCATCAGCAGGAACATGCTATATGTAATGTGCCAGGCCGGTGATTCATCGCTTCTCGGCCTTTTGGCTAAGATCAAGTGTACTATCTGTTCTTATCAGTTGCCGGTGAAGAACGACACTGTCCTTCTAAGGAGAGAGGAGGATGGTGGCTTAGTATTCACTGGCGTAATTGGTGGGTGCCGGAGGAGGTTCAGTCCCTGCTGGATGCGTCAGGCCCTAATGTGTCGGGTAGACCCCAGTGGCGGATGGACCTCCGAAAGTGCTACCTTCTGATGGGAGTGGATGCTTGCTTGGTCTGGCTGGAGGGTTGGCAGAGCCCGTGGTGCTGTGCCCCCTGGGGGTGGCGTCCCAGAGAATCACATTGGGTGTGGGACCCCAACACTGATTCACTGTCACATGGACACGGCACCTTAGCAGTTTCTGCACAGCGCCTCCGGTGACAGGCCTTATGGCTAGTCCGGGGCAATATTTTTGCACTCCGGCCCCTAAGGCCTGTCAGCGTGGTGCACTGGCACTTTATTTATTGCACTCTATGCACAATTGGCACATTTTTGATTGAAAATTTTTACCCACAGATGCTGAGGGTGCGGGTACCTTCTGGGCCCATTCCTGATGTGGGGAGGAGATTCTGTGCCCTCATATAGGGTTCTCTGTCTACTCCCACTTGTAGGGGGTTTCTCTTCGGGAGATCCCCCAACCTAGTATTTGTGGGACCTGTTTCGGCCCAGAGGATTGGGGTCCGCCGGCCTTCGGGTTGGTGGAACAAAGTATTCCTAGCCCCTGTCAGGAGCCATGCGCCCCGGGGGGTTGGGAAATTGTGGCCCTTTCTTTTCAAAGAAGGACCAAGTGTTTCATTGTGATTATGTACCTCGCCTTACATATCATGGCATGCGAAGAACGAGCATTTGTCATCAGTGGTAACAGTACCTTTGAAACAAAACAAAAACCCCACGCCACGGTTTACCAATAAGAACTTTATTGCTGTCACGCAATGCATATAAGAAGAAAAAGGGACAGCCCGAACCCCCGTTATTGTTCCCTGAGAACGTCAGTAATGAAAGTGGAAATCCAGCCAAAAAAATAACCGTTGGGACAGAACGTAGAAGGTGAGAACCTCCATCAGGTTATTGTCATCTGTACCCCTGATGAGGAATTTCTCTTCTTGTCCCAGTGACAACTATCTTGGGGACAGGAAGCCCCTCCAGTGGGGACACTTACAGCCCACCAAAAAAACAAAAAATTCCGTTAAACCTTTCCCCCACTCTACTAAATAAATGTTTCTTTTTTGTTGCCTCTGTCCTTTGTTGGAGAGATTTCCTCTCGATTCTTGCCTGCACGGCACAACAGGAAGAGGGGGGACGATCCCCCGAAGTGGACAGAGAGGGAACAGTTGAGTTTTAAGAAAAACTACAACACGAATATGCACAATAAAGTATAAATTGAAACACGGACTTTCCGTAAGTAATGAAATCAGAGATGACTCTAGGGACGTAGCCCTTCAACCTATGAAACTGCACCGTTGGTTTATTTCAGAGGCCTTCGCAGGTGTGTTTCCTCTGGTGGAGGACCAGTGTCACTTTCTGCGCAAAGCATTTGCCGCATTCCGGACAGGCAAACGGCTTCTCCCCGGTGTGGATTCTCATGTGCTTGTCACGGTTCCCTTTGCTGGGGAAGCGCTTCGCACAATCGGGACAGGAATATGGCTTCTCGCCGGTGTGGACTATCTGGTGCCTATTGAGTTGCGATTTGTCGATGAAGGACTTTCCGCACACCCCACACGAGAAGGGCTTCTCCCCGGAGTGGATCCTCAGGTGCTGAATGAGTCTCGATTTGTTTATGAAGGACTTATCACACTCGGAACAGGAAAAGGGTTTCTCGGCGGTGGGGATTCTCTGGTGGACAATCAGCTCGTGTGTTCTTACGAACGGCTTTTCACGATCCTGAAAACAAAGGCAAATTATTAGGAGAATGTTTCTCAAGATTAGAAAGATCTGCAATGTGAAGGCTTGGTCGGACATTTGGGATAATAACAAGCAAC